AAAAAAAAAAGGTGCTATACAAACCAATGTAAGTGTAAGATATGATGATGATGTAAATCTCACATTATCTATTATGGAAGCTCTGCTTTAAGAGGAAGGGAAAGAGTGAGGTAAGAGAGAGTTCAGGATGAGTTCCTTCACAAGATGCAAACGCTTCATGTCACTCTGTCCACTGGATACAGGCCATGAGATGATTAAACCAGAGGAGACAATGCAAGTGACAGCTCAAAGTCATTGCCTTCTATACTTAGCACTGGTCTGACCTTCATCATAAAGTGGAATTAGAGGATTTGGCCTGTGTCCAGAGGACAACAGTCATAAGATCTACGGGAGATTGGAGGGTGGGGAATGGGTTGCCCTGCTCCAAAGTAAAGCAAGAAGACAAAGAGCACTGGGAAAAATCACCCAGGTTAACCTGGATTTGGTGATGAGTCTGCACTCTCCCCTCTGGTCATCTTGTTACCAGGATCTGGTAATTCTGTTTTCAAATTCATTTTAACAACATTGAATACTCAATCTTACTACCATGGTGAGGTTATGATATTGAGAACTGTAATCAAACACCTTTGGGTGTCAGAAATTTTAACTTCTGTTAATTACATCCAAATAGCTTAAAAATGAATGCAGATAAGGAACAGGGGAGGCTTTAGTTCGTTTGTTTGTTTATTTAGACAGAGTCTAAATAAACTCTGGGAGACCTGGGGAGAGTGCTGTGGTATTATCACAGCTCACAGCAACCTCAAGCTCTTTTTGCATAACTGTGACTCCAGGCACCTGCCTCTTGCCCCGCTATATTTGCAATTTCCAGTAAAGACTGGGTCTCATTCATGTTCCTGAGCACAAGTAATCCACCTGCCTCAGCTTCCCAGAATGCTAGGATTACAGGTGTGAGCCAGCATGCCTAGCCAGAAACTGCAGGTTCTTGGACTTAACATCTGATGAGCACAGGAAGACTGGGAAAACCCAAAGGATTTATCTCCATACCAAAACGGAGGAAGGCAACATTCAGCAGAGTGCTCCACTAAGAGGCCTGATCCTTTCCGCGCTCTTCATGAGGCCTCTACAGGCGGGTAGGGTAACAGCTAAGACCAGCTGTGCTGAAAGGAGCCCACACTGCTGCGCAGCTCTTGGAAGTCTGGCCCTTGCTGCCTGGAATGCTCTGCATCCCCATGGGGAGGACGGATGGCAGGAAGGATGCTGGAGTGGGGTTGCCATCCCTGCACTGGCACCTCAAAGCTGGATGACCACAGACACCTGCCTCGATTTCCTTGTGCTAAGTTTCATTTAGAAAATGGTGATAGACTAGATCAAATGGCTTCTCATCCCATGCCCAGGACAAGTCAAATTCATTCCAACAGTCCACAAGGCCCCTCCCCACCTCTCTGTCTCATCTCCCCTCCTCCCATCTGGAACACACCAGGCCGATTCCCACCTCAGGGCATGGGCAGCTGCTCACCCTCTGTCCAGAATGTTCTTCCCAGGGTATCCTCACCTGGCTGTCTCACACTTCTCAGGTGAATCTAAAACCACATTGTCTGTGAGAATTCACTCACAGCTGCAACCACTATTACTGAACCCCCGCCCCCCCCAAAAAAAAATTCCCTACATTCCTCTTCGGCTTAAAATTTTTTTCTACTTCACACTTACTGTTCCACTTACTCTATATTTTACTTATTTATTTTGTTGCTTATCTGTGTGCCCCAAGTAGAATGTTGGCTCTCCATGAGCAGAGACTTCCACCTGCTTGCTTCCTGCGGTGTCCTCAGTCCCTGGACGAATGCCTGAGACATAACAGGAATTCAGTAAGTTCTGCTGAATGGATATATGCACAGATAGTGCCAGAGAGGGCAGAAGGAGTGTGGACCTTCCCAGCAATGTCTGAGGTCTGTGGGCTGTGGGCTGCGGTGCCCATGGTCAGAGGCTCTGCTACCAGTATGGACACTACAACCACATGAACAATAAGCCAACCCAGGGAAGAATGTGGGTCCAAGGCCAGATGTGGGACGCTTGTGCTCTGGGGCAGAACTTCTCAAGTGCTGCTTCCCAGACACTCTGTGCCCTGAGCTCATGGGCCGAGTACACCCAGCACTCTCAGTGAAGATTGACTACTGGGGCGTCCCAACGCTGTCTGTGAGCAATTCTTCACATTGGCATTCAGCTCCAAATTTACAGTGTGTACGCTCATAAAATTTGGAGCAAGCACAGTTAGATCCATCTCTTCTAATTTGTCATTTAAAATCCCCGGGGAAAAGAGAAGTAAGTTTCCCTACTGCCAAGAAATCACATTCTCATTTATCCTGAAGTGGAAAAGGTGGTGGAAACTCCCAGGCGCATCTCAGCCAGTTCCACTAGATGGCGACGTCGGCAGGATGTGCTGATACCCGAGCTTGAAATTCACCAGGAACACAGAGTAGAGACGCTTGGCTCCACCAGACCGTCGCTCCGGGTCTCTGCCCCGCCCACACCCCCGGCCTCCCCTCCACTTCTAGCCTGGCTATTTTCAACCACTAATTTACAATCTGCTCTCAAATGGTTCATGCTTACCCCGTGAATACACATGACTTAATCACTCCAGCCTTGGAAGCTTTACGTAGACTTCTTTCTGCCAAAGTAGGTCCAAAGTTTGGTCCTCTACCATGACTTAATCACTCCAGCCTTGGAAGCTTTACGTAGACTTCTTTCTGCCAAAGTAGGTCCAAAGTTTGGACCTCTACCCAAAACTCACTTCTTCCACAAAACCCTCCCAAGCAAACCTGGCTCTGATCCTGTGTATATACGTCACAGACACATTTTTATATATTAGATAGACTGTATACGTGTGTGTCGATGTGAATATACACACAGATACATATATATGTATCTATAAACATATATATAAACACATAAAGAGAGACAGAATCACATGGACTGGCAGACACGTGTACATTTAATATAAATGATGTGCAGGTAAGCCACGACTCTATGAAATAATATTTATTGACTGCCAAAGGCCAAGAGACTAGACGTACCAACGCCCAACAATGCCTTCTGTTTTCTAGTTATATCCTAGCATTCAATTTAAGCTCCAGAAAGTCTTCTGAGTCCAAACTTAAGCTAATATTAACCAATTAGCCAATATTTTGTTCAACTTAAACAAAAGTGTGTGTTATATAGCTTTAAGGGCTATTTAACATGCTCTCTTTATTTCAATCCTTGATAACTGTTTCATTTACCTAAAAAATTTAAGTATGGCTAAAAACAAATCCGAGAAGTTATTCTAAAAATACAAAAGGCTTCATATATAATGTAAAATTGCTCTATGGATGGTAGAGAAAAGAGTAATATTTTGACAACTGCCCGATGGGAAAACAGAAATAAACATTCATGTGTTTACCGGTCACCCCACAGTATTATCACCATTACAGATCATAGGGGACCAGAAGTGTCCCATAGTTAACAAGCGCACAGAAAATTTAAAAAAGAAATTTTAGGCAAAAAAGCTATCCAATCTTTTTAGAGGCCCATTTCTGAAACATTTCAATCCTTCACTCCGTCACAGATGAAACATGCGAACTTGAGATGCCATTTTTGCCGCCCACAATACTGGCGCCTCCCTCAGCTTCACGCTGGCTCCCTACACCGAGTGCTACCGCAAAAGAAAAGCAGTGATTTGTGAAACACAACCTCTCTAAAGCCACTGCCAGACATTACTCCCTGATAGACAGCAAGACCATGTCAGTCACATGAATATTCCACCAGATTCCAACAAAGATAGCACATCCGAAACATTGAGGGCAGTTTTAACTCACCTATTTTCAGCATTTTCTTCCTGTATCCAATCAGAAGGACAACTTCACAGAGTCTTGTTTGAGTCATACAGACTTGAGGGACACCTTGTTTGAGTCATACAGAATTGTGGCCACCTTGTTGATATGTACAATAAGCCACCTGTATCACCTTCAGGAAGACTCAGCCCTTCTCAAGAGTAATTCAGACTAAGTCAGACCATCCTTCTGAAAAATCCACCGCAAGCTTCCCCGACAAATGCAGAGAGGACACTGGTCAACAGCAGTCACTTTAAAAGTCGTCTTGCTTAAAAGTCGTCTTGCTCGTTATTCTGGGAGCCAGGTTTCGTCACTTGTAGTGGAATACATTATGTAGCCTTTAATTGTGAGTCCGGAGAGGTCTCCACATTCACAAGACGGAGGGACTGGTTGCTGCCTGCACTTACTTGCTAACCCATAAACTACGATTATATAAAAACATGGGATTACCTGTGATAGGCGAACAGCAGATATATTCAAAATCAAGCAGAAACAGGAAGTCTAACGTCTCAACATGCTGGAGAAAAGAGGCAGATACTTTTTTAAAAATGTTAAAAAGGGAGTGGCCCCATTCACAGATGCCAGAAAGAAAGACAGAAAAAAAAAAGACTTCATTCCTACGTGGCCAGTAAAAACATGAATGTCTATTAATAATAAGTATTGCTTAGAGGTGTTCTTGTTCTCAGGAGAACTAGAGAACACAGCTTGGACAGTATGGCTACTTAAAACTAGTCGCCTTTTGAAGAGAATGTAAGGTTTTTATAAAGACAATGTGAGTGTGTCTGGCACACACAAACACACGTGCACACAATACACATATACGGATCTGTACAATATGATCATCTCTTTGGAAACTTATTTACTGACTTGGGCATTCGGCAGTTACTGCCACCCACAAATCTTTCTCTTACCCACTTCCGCTGGTAAGATTCTGCCAGTCCTACAAGACCCACACAAGCATAGCACCACTTCTGTGATTGTCTCCCGAATGACCACAATTCGGTCTGTACAATCTCAGCCTTTTCCTTAACGCCCTCTGTCTTGGTTAACACTTTCTGGTACCTTTCACTGGTGTTTTTATATTACTTTTGGCTGTACAGCTCTCTTACTTTCCTCCACTACATGGTCACCTTCTTGATTCTGCTGTTCCACTGAATAGCAATAACCCCCTGCCTTGAGCCTACAAGGTGCCCAGCAAAAAGGACACCGAGTGTGATGTAACAGACAAGCTTTTTGAAGTTTGCTAGGCCTGGTTCACATTCCCTTTATGCCACTTTTCTGGTTTTGTAGACTTGCAAGTTATTTAACCTCTCCGAACAATTCTGCACTTCTGTAAAGTGAGAATAACATCATCAACGTCATAGACTTGCTATCAAGATTTAAAGCGAGCCCTGGGAAGCCAATGACTTATTGCCGGATACATACAAGTTCAAGCAATGATGAGTTGAGCATTGTTACTGACATGAATTAAAATCAAATGCCTACTGCTAACTTGGGAAGGAGGATCCACATCATTTTATAAACATATTTCTTATTTTCTTTAGCCTACACTGTCATGTGACCAACTCGTAGAGGTAAGAAGCTTATACCTTCCACGGTTATCTCCCTAAACCTAACTGGCCCTTAATATTGTAAAAACCTTTTCAGGGACTGAGGTCAAACAAATGTCAAAAGACAATTCTTCCTGAAAGCGTGGGACTCTAAATCATGAGGATTTCCTCAACCCTTGATGCACTGGTAGTTCCCAGGGCAAGTTACAAAGAGCAGAAATGCTACATCTAAACAGAAGGCTGGGCCCCTCACATTTGCATGAAATGTGGCCTCAGTGGTGGCTGCATGGCTAGCTAGGTGGTCACAAGAAGTACTCTGTCCTTTCTTTCTGGAGGAGGCTGTCCATTCCTTCTGGTGGATGCAGGCGTGCTGGAGTGAAGCTGAGGGACGAGAAAAGCAGAGAAGGAATCCTGCAGCCTCGTGTGAGGGCAACTGCCAACCCGGCCACGGAGCCCTCATGCTCGTGCCAGGACAGCAGTAAGGTCCAGGCCCCAGCAAGGTCCTGACACCAGGCCAGGGCAGAGGAGGGTGCAGATGATGGCCTCGGGTAACAACTGGACACCTCCACACCCAGCAGGCATTCCTGACTTTGGAGGGAGTTCTTCAACAATGGGAGAATGAAAAGCAAAGCTCCTAGATGGCGATTCCTAACATAGGCGTTCCTCCTGTCTCAGGAGGAACCAGAATTGAGACCAGAATGCCCACGTCATCCATGCTCAGATCTACTCAAAGTTTGCTGTTCAAAGAGGCCCCAGCAGTTGGCACATGCTGCTTATCCTACTTCACTTGGGAAGAAAGAAGAGTCACAGAGAGCGACTAACCAACAGGGTGATTCTCAGACTATCTGGGAGTGGTCGACCCTCACCAAACAGCCTTATGTGCAAACACAGCTAACTCTCCTCAGTTGCCTTTGCAGATTTGGACAGGCA